ATATTAAGTTCGTCATTCCGTTTGTAACTCATCGAAATAATTATTTTAGACCCAACAAAGTATATATATTCTTGATCAGCGTAAAATTCTAAGACGATTTAGCCCTTTCCGTCCGCCTGTCCGTCTGTTGAAATCACGCTACAGTCTAAACGAATTAAGATAGGAAGCTAAAATTTTGCACAGATCTCTCTTTTGTCTGCAGGTAGGTCAAGTTCGAAGATAGGCTATATCGGTCCACGATATCGTATTGCCCCCATATAACGGTACCCCCGATATTCGGTATTTTGATAACTTTACCCACATTTTTCAACGGAATTGTCTGAAAATCCACACAAGGAGTTCCTTGTGGGTACTTTATACCACGGCAGAGAGTTATCTATATATAGGTCCACGATATCGTATAGCTCCCATATAACGGTACCCTCGATATTCGGTATTTTGATAACTTTACCCACATTTTTCAACGGAAAGTGTACACAAGGGGTTTTTTGTGAGCACTTTACCGCCCGATAGATAATTCTTTATATAGGTTAATGATATCGTATAGCACCCATATAACGGTACCCCCGATATTCGGTATTTCGATGATTTTAGTCACATTTTCAAATCGTATTGTCTGAAAATACACACAAGGAGTTCTTTGTGAGCACTTTACCCCCTGAAAGGGAATTGTCTATATAGGTCCGCAATATCGTATATCACCCATATAGCGGTACCCCCCGATTTTCAGTAGTTTGATGATTTTAGCCACTTTTTCCAATGGAATTATCTGAAAATCCACACAAGGAGTTCCTTGTGAGTACTTTACACCCAGATATAGATTTGTCTTAATAGGTCCACAATATCATATATATCCCCATATATCGGCACCTTCCTATATTAGATATTGTAAAGATTTAAAAAAAAATTAATGAATTTTATTTTTTTTTAAATTTTCTAATTCTTTCCAAATGGAGGAGGGTATTCAAAGTTCGCTCCGGCCGAAATTACTGCTTTTTTACTTGTTTTAATACAAGTAGTTGAATTCAACCGAGTTACTCTTTAATCTGGATATAGATTAGATCGTTTGAAGTTTCAAAATACAATAAATTGGGTGGAACCGTTATATGGGGTTCATATTAAACGGCAACATTCTGCAACAAGGATTGTTATCTGTTTCCAAATAAATACCGAATTCAAAACATCGTAGAAATATTTGGCTACGATCATCAAAATATCGGTGGGTATAGGAAAATGGAAATCTTGGGCCAATATGGACAATGTTTTGACACTGATTGTAGAACCGTTTATGATATACCGATTTTGAAACACAATCTATATGGGGGTATATATAGACAATGATACATAAATTCCAAAAAAATTAGTGAACAAATATGACTAAAATATTTAAAATACGTAATATCGGGAGGTTCCATCATATGGTCCTATATATAATGTTCTGCCACCAGAACTAGAATTCAAAATACAAATATCACATTTTACTAAAATTCGTAAGAAAATGTGACTTAAATCGTCAAAATACCGAAGTAGACATGTGTATCGGCGTGAGCGTTTGGGAATTTAACCTTCATGCGAGTTAACAAAGGTGTCTTTTTAGAAAATATTGTTAATAACTCCCTTTAAACGGTTTGGCAGCGGGTCAAAATATTCTAAAAAATTATTTGTTATTAAATTCTACCATAGGTTCTTGAAGACGTCAAGAGTCTAAATCTTACCTATATGTGCATATGTATATATGTTAATAATGCATATATATTAATAACAAATTTTTACCCGTACTTTATGTGATTTTATGGGAAAAACATGATTTATAAAGATAAAATAATATTCTTCAATAAAGAAGTTCAAGTTACCAAATAAAAGAAATCTATATTTCCATTGCATATCAAAACATATTTGAGGCAACCGACTTGTCATCCTAGAAAATCTGGCCTCTAATTTAGATCAGGTATTTTTAGAGCAAAAAAATCTTGACAATAAAGATTTAATGGTGGTATAATTACAAAAATTTGCCGTTTAATATATATGGTTGTTGTTGCAATATTCCATTTGGAAAATAGCAAGTCAGTAAGGATGTTTTTGTATTTTTTTCTTCTTAGAAACATCAAATAGCAATAAAAGATTTCAAAAGTTTATATTCGCCGAAATTATTTGATTTTAAACCTGTTAACATCTGTGAACTATATTAAATCTATAGGCCAAGTGGAATAAATTTGAAAGTTGGATGATAAATCTTAAATAAAATTTGCACCACCTGGCGGTGAGTAGATAAAGATATGAGCATGGTGCAAGGCCAGGAAAAGTGTACAAAGTGATTTGTGGTAGTACCGTCTCAACGCACTGCATTATCAAAAGTGCTGTGGTAAGGCAGGAAACATCGAAATGGTGTTTAGTTATAATTTTTCACGCTTGGAGAAAAGTGCAGATTATTGTAGTAATCATAAATGTCACGTTAATTAAATGTGTAAAAATTAAAAGTGCCCTGAGGAAAAGCGTTACATGGAGACGAAGATTATTTTACATTAAGATTAATAACAGAAAACAAAGAAATAAGTATTGAATTACGTCCACAAAAGCCTCAGAAAATTTGTGCATAAGCGGACAAAAATGGAACTATGGGTCCATCTCGTTTTTTTTTGTCATTTACCAACAAATACATAATACCCTGTACCACAGGTATAACCACTAAAGAAAGTCTTAAAGTCGGGCGGGGCTGACTTTATGATACCCTACACCACTTTGCTAATTTAGTAAAGCTCCGCATAACAATTAACGTTTTAATGAGAGAATTCAATCATACACGCCATGATTATAATCATAATTTAAAGTTTAAATGACTAAATATGCCGAAGCATTTGTATCTTTTAAATTCGGACTTATGTTGCCCATTTGGTGCACAATTAATTTGAAATTGGATAAAAATATATATAGGGGAGCTATATCAAAATCGGAACCGATCTCGATATAATTTGGCAAAGATATTTCTGAGCTGTATTTGATATATTTCCCTGAATATCGTTGCTACGGAGTGCATATTACGACTGTGGGTAACAAATATAACAAATCGGATGAACAGTATATATGGGAGCTATAGCTATATCTGAACAGATCTTCATCAAATTTGACATACTAGCTTCTAGACTCAATTCGGTCGCAAGTGCCAAATTTCATCCCATTTGGGCAAATATTAGACGTTTGTTGCACAATAAAAGGTAAATCGGACGAAGTTATATATGGGAGCTATATCCAAATCTGAACCGATCTCGATAAAATTTAGCAAAGGTATTTCTGAGCTGTATTTGATATATTTCCCTGAATATCGTTGTTACGGAGTGCATATTACGGTTGCGGAGGACAAAAATAATAAATCTGATGAATAATATATATGGTAGCTATAGCTATATCTGAACCGATTTCGATCAAATTTGGCTACTTATTTTCAGGAATTTTTGCACATACAACCAAATTGGTATGTGCAAAATTCCATACACGTTTGGTGCACAATAAAAGGCAAATCGGACGAAGATATATATGGGAGCTATATCTAAATTTTTACCGATTATCTCCAATTTCAATAGGGTTCGTCCTTGGGCCAAACGAATGTTATTTGGAAAATTTCATCTCAATCGGATAATAAATGCGACCTGCATTTTGTTCACAAGAATACATGGATAGACGGACGGACTGACATGAGTGAGAAACTGATTCTGTACAGATCATTAAAAGGAACTATAGGTCTATCTCGTTTCCTTTTGCCTGTTACAAACAAATGTACAAAGATATTATACCCTGACCACCTTATGGTGTAGGGTGTAGAAACATTAAGTTCGGCCGGGCCAAACTTTTAATACCCTCCACCTTAGGGTAAAGGAAACATTAGAAGAAATGTGACAAAAACCATTAAAATTCCGAATATCGGGAGGTACCGTTATATGGAGGCTATACCAAATCGTGGACCTACACATGCAATGTTTCGCCAAAAGAGCTAGAACCATTATGACCTGCAAATACCAATTTTGAGAAAAATCCGTGAAAAAATGTGGCAAAAATCATCAAATTACCGAATATCGGGAGGTACCGTTATGTGGGGCTATACCAAAACGTGGACCTATAATTACAATGACTCGCCTTACGAACTGGGACCCATTATGATCTACAACTACCAATTTTCAGAGAAATTCTTGAAAAAAAATGTGTCAAAAATCATCAAAATACCGAATTTTGGGGGGTACCGTCTATATCGGCGACTATATCAAAACGTGGACCTATACATACAATGTTTCGCTACACGAACTAGAACCCATTATCACCGCAAATACCAATTTTTAGATAAATCAGTGAAAAAATGTGGCAAAAACCATCAAAATACCAAATATCGGGAGGTACCGTTATGTGGGGGCTATACCAAATCATGGACCCATACATGCAATGTTTTGCCAGCGAAGCTGAAACCCATTATGACCAACAAATACCAATTTTTAGATAAATCCGTGAAAAAATGTGGCAAAAAAATATAAATACCGAATATCGGGAGGTACCTTTATATAGGGGCTGTACCAGAACGTGGACCGATATAACTCATTTTCAATACCAACCATCCTAGACACAATACAAATTTTGGCGCTCTACGTCAAATAATGTGGGCTGTATCGTGATTTCAACAGACAGACAGACGGACATCGTTAAATCGACTTAGAAATTTATGCTGATTATGAATATATATACTTTATGGGGTCTACGACGAATATTTAAGGATGTTAGAAACGGAATGATAAAGTTAATATACCCTCCTTTCCAAGGTGGTGGGTATAAAAAGCAAATTGCAAAGCTTTAAATAAAACATTAACATCCAGACCCTGCTCAATATACTTTGACAAAAGATGAGCACAACTCCCAAGTGTGTATGTATTCTACTTCTTTGCGTACATAATTATCACAGATTCCCTTTTAACACTTATTTTTATCGGTGCAGTGACATTTTGTCTCTATTAACGGCAGCTTGACTCAATCGACTCACTCTAACCTAACACAATGGGTTAGGTGAAAGGTATTGATCGATTCCATCGCTGTAACATTCAATAAAAGCAACAAAACGACAAACAGAGAAAGAACAAGAGAATTGAATAAAAATCGCGAAAATTTAAATGTAAAGAAACAATAGGCTGAGAATTGAATTGATCTTCGGTTTTCTTTTACACCCAGCCAGCTCAGTTGGAATCGCGTCAATTAATTGCTTTCTGTTTGTTTGTGTTTATTTCAAATAGTTTAAAAAAAAGTGAAATAATTTGCTTATTTTTGAATATGTAAACAGGGATTGATAAAAGTTTAAAACGTAATCATAAATTAAACTTTGTGCTGTTCCTTTTTAGAGTGTGCAAAAATTTATAAAATATTCTTGGTTTACATTCAAAACTTGTAACAAAAAAATCCAATAAGAAAGACTCATAGAAAAATACGATATCGAGAGAGTGATAGTTACAAACATAAAAATGGCGCAACCGCCACCTGATCAGAATTTCTATCATCCACACCCGCATCCACATGCGCATCCTCATCCCCATCCACAGTTGCAGTTGCCACCACAATTTCGGAATCCATTTGATTTGGTAGGTATCTAATATGCACCCCAATTCTTTTCTTGTAATTTTTCTTCACCGACGAAATTTTGAAACATGGAATTTTTATACGAAAATCTACGAAAACAAGTTAAAGAGTATCAGTCGCTTTTGCCCACATTTGTGTACTCTCAGCAGATGTTCGATTATATAAATGTATTTTAACTTGTGTTATGATTATCCAAAGTGTTGACCTTCTATTAAGTAGATTCCGAAGAAATGGGCCAATATTGTCCATTTCGCATCGGACCTAAATAAATATAATATAAATATTACGATGTGCCAGGTTTGGACTATATCGACTACTTCCTTCACTTTATATGAGATGTATGATCATTTTATGAAAATGTTAATATGTGCCTGAGGTACCAGATTTAGTCGACCGAGGTATTCCATTTTCACACTTCATCTATTACAGATAAAACTACTGGTATTTACAAAATTACAAGGCAATCGAACATTTTTATTCAATTTTATGCGAAATCATAAATTCTATATTCATCTCAGGTTTCTGGTTGAAAGAAATATTTAGATATAGCTTGTTGTAAAGAATCGCTGACTTGTTGTTATAATAGATAAAAAATATTGAAAATTGTGACCCTTTGTGGGTCAGTTGCCAAAAGACAGATATGATGATTGAAAAGTGTTGAATGCTTACTTCGCTTTCTTTGAGCGATTTGTTTTTCGAAATCTTGAAACCTATGTGGAGCAGGTAGCAAAATAAATGGTCCGAACTCTACCATCTTTTTAACAGATCTTGTGTTGATGGAAATATTGAGATGCACCATGTCTGGAATGGAATCAGATGTTGACTTCGCTTTTTATGAACTTCATGGATATTCAAAATTTTGAGCGTTTGTGGGGAGGTACTAGAAGGAGTGGACCGATATATTCTCTCTTACTACCAGATCTTGGTTTCATAAAAATAGTAGGATGTGTGAAATTTGATAACAATCGGACTCGGATGTGAATTTGAAGGCAATTACACCCTTACATCATATTTTATAAGAGTTGTAATTATTCAAAATTTTGTACCCTTTGTGGGGGAGGCACTTGATAGAGTGGACCGATACTATCCATTTTTACACCTGACCTAGAACAGATGCAAATATTAGGATTTGCAAAGTTGAAGCAAAATCGGATTGTCCTTTCTCTTTCTGTGCAAAAATATATTTTTTGAAAATTTCGACCTTTTGTGGGGGAGGTACCAGAAAGAGTGGGCCGATATATTCCATCTTAACACCTGACCTTGGGTTAACATAAATATTGGGATGTGTAAAATTTGAAGACAATCGGACTCTTACATCACATTTTGTGACAGTTGTAAGTGGGCCGATATTATCCGTTTTCACACCTGACCTAGCTAAATTTCGACCATTTGTGGGGGATGTACCAGGGTGAGTGGACCGATATATTCCATCTTAACACCAGACATTGAGCTAATAAAATTATTGGGATGTGTGAAATTTTTAAGACAATCGAACTCTAACATCTCATTTTATAAGAGTTGTCATTATTCAAAATTTTGACCCTTTGTGCGGGAGGTACTTGATGTTGTGGACCGATATTGTCCGTTTTCACACCTGACCTAGCACTAACGCAAATATTATGATTTGCAAAGTTGGAGCAAAATCGCATTGTCCTTTCTCTTTCTGTGCAAAAAATATATATTTTTGAAAATTGCGACCATTTGTGGGGGAGGTACCAGGGTGAGTGGACCGATATATTCCATCTTAACACCAGACATTGGGCTAATAAAATTATTGGGATATGTGAAATTTTGAAGACAATCGGACTCTAACATTGCATTTTATAAGAGTTGTTATTATTCAAAATTTTGACCCTTTGTGCGGGAGGTACTTGATGGTGTGGACCGATATTGTCCATTTTCACACCTCATCTAGCACTGACGCAAATCTTAATATTTGTAAAGTTGCAAAAAATATATTTTTGAAAAGTTCGACCTTTTGTGTGGGGGAGGTACCAGAAGGAGTGGACCGAACATCGATTTGGTCCAAAGAGACCTAAACCGTTATTTCGACTAGGCACGTCTTGACCGTATCAAATGATATATACCCTCTCTAGCCATATGGCTAGGATATGATAAATCCATTGTATTGTTTAAAAGAATAGAGGTAGAATTCTGATATTTGGAATCAGCGTAGGATAGATTTACCATTGGAAATTCCAACTACAGGTGCACTAAAAGTACTAAAAAGCACTTAATGTTTTACCATTTGGAATTATGTCAACGGATAGTGCTAAAATCTTGAAAAGAATTTAGATGGGGAAGTATGGTTGATATAAGGAGGTTGTTTTGGAAATGTGTATTCAACTGTAAACCGGATGGAGCTAAAATTTTGATATTGGTATTGGGATCATTGTTAGTGTTATCTGGTAATTGAGGAAGAAATGGAGCTAGAAATCTGAATGAGGGTCTTTGCTGATTTGTAGAATAGGCGAATCAAAGGTTTTTCTGAGGGCTCGAACACTAAGTGAACCAAAAGTACAAAAATTCTCAAAATGTGGTACCATTTGGAATAATATGAATGTATAAAACAGTATTGAAATAATTGACTGACTGACTGATGTACGATCAACGCTCAGTCTAAATGGCTGAAGCTGGAATATTGAAATTTTGCACAAGAGCCGGTCTTGGTGCGTAGGAGTCTGATAAGGCTGGTTTTATGAAAATTCGTACGTATTGTATTGGACCAGACAAATAGAATTTTTGGTTTCCGTACGTAAATAAAAAGAGCTTTTTTCGATAGGCAAATTTTGGTTCACCTAACTCCAACACAAACAAAACGAAATGCCAAAGTAGACAATCAAAAAAATATCAATCGTTCATTCACAAAATTTGAGAAAAGTAAAATATTGTGTTTGAAAATTGATATTTCACACAAAAGGTATGGTCCATTTCATCCGCTGTGTCGATCCCAATAGGTGCGCTTCTTCTCTGGTCTCAACTCTAACCCCACGCAAAATTAGGCGCAAATTGACCTAAAATACTACAAAATCGGAAAAGTATCTTGTTGGTCCATTGCAAGTCGTATAGGTATTTATTCTGACCCTAACCCTGACTCAACGCCTAATTTCGTGAGGTTTGCGTCATAGTTGTGACGTGTAGCGTGACTACAAATAAAAAAGTGACAGACGGACACACATAGCTAAATCGACCCAGCTTGGAGATATAGGTAGATACATATGTAAAATCGTGGGTCTAGAACTAATATTTCGAGGTTTGTGGCATCACCTAACGTTTGGCGGATTAGGCTGATATTTCCGCCACCCCCATTTACAGTTTTATTTGAAATGGAAAATCCAAAACCGGCACCCGGACATAATCCCCACGGTCTTAATCCCCATTGCAATTATTGGGATTACGACCTTTTTTTCGGTGATAATCCCCATAATCCAAATAATAAAGTATGACAGTTTGCTGTGTGGACTACGTACAAAAATAATTAATTTTAGGAATCTTTGATTCGCGATAGCCGGTGCCAAACATATCCAGAGGGAAAGTCTTTGGACATACCCATTATTATGGGAGTTATGTCCGCTAATTTCCAAAAAAATGAGTTTTTCCTGCACCCAAAATTTCATAATTTTTGTAAGTAGCCGGCCTTTGGCCGGGGCTTGAGATTTTCTCCTTTGAGTGTGTCCTGCACCGGCTACCGCGAATAGAAGGTTTCTTAAATTAATTATTTTTGTAAGTAGTCCAACGGTCATACTTCCCATGGGGGTTGTGTCTGTGTTGGAAACGGACACTATCCCCATATTATTATGGGGATTATGACCAAAAACAAACCGGGCATAACTCCTATAATTGCAATGGGGTTTATGTCCGTGAGGATTATGTCCGGGCTCGGTGCCCGTCTAAAACCAACGGACGTAATAATTTTAAAAAAAATAAATAATCAAATTTTATTTTCGGAAACATAAACCATATTTTTGGGTAAAATGAGCTTTTACTCCCAGACGAAAAAAGTAAATGAAGTGAAATAAAAACTTGATTGCTCCCATATATATCCTTAATCCCATTAATTATAATTGTATAATTTTTGAATATGTTTTATTTTTTTTTGTTTTAAACCAATAAATGTATACAATTTTGAATGCATATAAAACCAGTAAGGAAAGCTCAAAAGTCGGGCGGGGCCGACTATATGATACCCTACACCACTATGCATATTTAGTAGAGCTCTCGTAAAAAGGTTTATACAGGGCATTTCAGAGCTCTATGAGATATTTGGTACAAAATCAAAATCTATCTAATTCTATCGTGCATTTTACGAACTATAGCTATCTCTGAACCGGGTTTCTCCAAATTTTACGTATTAGCTTCTAGACTGGTGATTTGGGCTGATATTGACCATTTAGTGCACATTTAACCCGAAATCGGATGAAGATATATATGAGAGCTATATCCAAATCTGAACCGATTTCGATAAAATTTAAAACAGCTATACCTGTGCTCCATCTAATACCTGGAACCAAATATCACGGTTGTGGAGTGAATATTACGAATGTGTGGGACTAAAACTCTAAATCGGATGAAACATGTATATGGTTGCTATATCTATATCTGAACCGATTTTCACTAAATTTGATATACTTGCTTCTAGGCCGAATTTGGTCCGATGTACTAAAATTCAGTCCATTTGGACTTATATCGGCCATTTGGTGCACAATTAACCCGAAATCGGATGAAGATATATATGGGAGCTATATCCAAATCTGAACCGATTTCGATAAAATTTAAAACAGCTATTTCTGTGCTCCATCTAATACCTGGTACCAAATATCACGGTTGTGAAGTGCATAGTAGGAATTTGAGGGACTTAAAGATCAAATCGGATGAAAGATATATATGGGAGCTATAGCTATATCTGAACCGATTTTCTCCAAATTTGATATACTTACTTCTAGGCCGAACTCGGTTGGGTGTGCCAAAATTCAGGTAATTTGGACTGATAGTGGATATTTGGTGCACATTTAACCCGAAATCGGATGAAGATATATATGGGAGCTATATCTAAATTTGATCCGATTCTCACCAGTTTCAACAGGGTTCGTCCTTGGGCCAAAAAAATATTGTTTGGAAAATTTCATCTCAATCGGATAATAAATGCGACCTGCATTTTGTTCACAAGAATACATGGACAGACGGACGGACGGACGGACGGACAGACGGACTGACATGCATAAATCGACTCAGAAAGTGATTCTATGAAGGTTCTCAAAAGTAACTATGGGTCTATCTCGTTGCCTTCTCCATGTTACAAACAAATGCACAAAGACATAATACCCTTACCACTATGTGGTGTAGGGTATAATTAAAAGGGGTAGCGAAGCGCACCGGGTTCAGGATATAGATAGTTTATAGATACAGTTTCAAAATTTAGAATGTGTAACGAAGATCGATACAAAAATAAATTTGCCAAATTACATTGCAATCGGTTTTGATTTATATATTACTAGCTGGCCCGGTCCGCGTTGCCGGCCCGTAGTTTTTGTCTATTATGCATATTTGTCCAAGCTTAATTATTCACAGATATGACTGATATAAGTGTTCACGTACAGGTCGATTAAAAGTGTTTTAAAATATTTAAACCGTGGGCTTCAACTGTGTGGATGTGCTATACAAATCTATTAAAAAGTATATATCAATCTTATCGCCATGTATGGGACCAAATTAATTTTTAATATGGTAAAAATCGTAGCAAAATCTTCCAGTCAAATGAGCAATATTTTGGAATTTACTGTATTTTGTATACTACATAGTTGAGGGCTGAATGATTTAAGAATAGCCAAAGTTAATTACCTTATTAAACCCATTAGCACCTTAGATTGTACATTAGAGTCCTTATAAGTCCCCCTAACCATGTCGGTCTGGTTGTCCGCCAAAAGGTGGACTTGAGAGGGTATTATTACATGGAGAAAATTCTCAAATTTGTAGATATATTTAAATTTTTGTGTACGATTTTCACCCTCCTTATACACATTATTAGCCAAATTCTTTGAAATATGGTAAAATTAGGAGGTACCTTCTTTATATGAGCACTACTCTGAAACATCGACCTACACTGAAAACTTATAATCCAAGATGACAAATAGAGGCCAAATCAAAAATATAGCAGAACAATATAGCATGTCATAGCATTTCGCGTGATTTAAATAAGTAAAAATAGTTTTATCCACCTCATAATTGAGGGCAGAATGATAAGATGGGAATTAATTTTATTTGCCATTTAAATTGTAAGTTGGAGACCCCTTAAAGTTCATATTTTCATTATAGTATAATTCAATGATGACTCAACAAATATTCGGTCCCGTGCTACTTTCTTATATTTGTAATTTTTTCATGTTTCCACAACTTATTTCATATAGATGTACATCCCAAATCTACGTTCCAAACCAATTTTCTCTTGGGGGTTACAAATTCAATAGAATACAAAATTTTCTTTTCTGACCACACATTAGATGTGAAAGTGGACTTGGGGATACTCCAATGTGGGGACTTTACTTAAATAAATTCCTATGTGGCAATTATCTGTATGATGGTTCCCTACCCCAGGGTGATATTAATAAAAATTGTTAGCCAAATCAATTGATGAATGTGGTCAAGACCAATATGGGTCCTACTCTGGAAATTTCAAATTTTATGCGAAGAGGTTCTCTTAGAAACAAAAAAAGTCAAATAAGGGCCAACAAATGAAAAACGTGGCCAAGACCCCAAAAATAGCTTAAATCATAGATGGTTATATAAATATGAAATCGGGTTGTTCCCTTATCCGTGATTTATGATCGATATAAAGACCTGCAAAAGTGATTTAAGGTATTTTGAATGTTTGGGAAGAATTTCTGGAAGGATATAAAAGCTTTTCTTACTAAAAGTCCCATTCGCTCTTCTATTTTGCACCTTTTATATTTGGTATTTTACTGATTATTCTCCCAAAGAATTTAGCATTTTGAGCTCTCATTGGACCACGCTTTGAAATGAGCCACATTAGGTTTATTCGGTCATTTTTGTTTTTTTTTTTTAATGCGTTCGCATCTTCCAGGATATCAGTTAACATCCTATTTCGCACTTATTTCATTTTATTGGTTAAAAATTGTATATAGTGAAAAATTATTCTTTACTTTGTTCACAAAAAATCCACTGATACACTGATAATACAAATTGAAAAAAATTACAAAAGAAGAATAACAAATTAAAAAAATCTTCACCTTGTTCGCTGATTTTTTACAGCAAATGTTTAAAGATCCTTAAAAAGTTTGTCAATCGAATAGTACTATTGTTTTAAAATTCGATTCCATTGAAAATTTTTTTAGAGTTTTTCCCGATTTGAGAATTTTTGCAATGAGATCTCTTTTTCGTGAGTTTTTAGCGATTTTGAAAAAGTAATTATCTTTTAACTTTGGTGTGACCGCGTTAAATTATTTCAATATCCTCTATTCCGTTTCACCACCACATAATTCGGAACTACACTTCCATGTAACCCGCCATCAATATCAGTTCTCAAGAAATCAAATCAATTTAATAAATTGGTATTAATATTCGAATTCTAAAATAAAATATAAAAAACACTACAAATGTACATTAGAAAAAAGTAAGTCAAAATGGAAAAAATCATGCAAAATAAAACATTACTATTGTACATTTCAAAAGTCAAAATGAAAATGTTAATATATCACATTTTTACGCGATTTTTTTGGATATTATCCTTTTCGGAAAGGATACAATTCCGAATTTGTATGAATCGTTAAAATCTGTCCAGCGGTTTTTAAGTTATAAGCGTAGTAACTAACACAACTTCCTTTTATATATATAGATATTTTCGGCCGTTTTCGTTTATTTGATGCGCCAAACACGCTATGTATGTATATATGCATCTTTTTAAACTTCGTATATTGGAATTTTTTATTGTTTCCCAATTCATCCTCAAAAGGGAGATTTTTGTTTGAGAGTGGGAGGAGTGGTTTCCATAGATTAGTTCCATATCTATGGTTGGTAAAAAATGGGGCATATTATTTTCTTTAAAAATTTTTACATTTTGTGAGTGATTTTCCATCTAAGAACTCGATCAAGGATTGTTGGATCATGTTTGGACTAAATCGTATAGTGTTATCGTGCGCACAAGCCCACAAGACATCCGGACGGATATTTTAGATCGACTCCAAATGTCCTGAAACGGACTTCGTCCTAGTATGTACTTGGCATACAAGTTATTTTAGCCAGAGACTTTAATTATATTCTTCTCCAATTTTTAAATCTTTTTCTTAATTTTATAATTTCAGCTATTTGACGAACGTACTGGTGCAATCAACTACAACTATATACGTCCATACATTCCTAACCAACTTCCCAAACCAGGTGAGACATTTTATATTTTTCTTGGAATTTTCTTGTGCTTTTTTAACATTTGCTTGTTTGTTTGTCTTTTTAAGATGATCTCTCCGATTCACTGGTTATGCGTCGTCCACGACGCACCCGTACAACATTTACCAGTGCTCAGATTGCCGAATTGGAACAACATTTCCTTCAAGGCCGATATCTGACATCATCACGGCTGGCTGAACTTTCAGCGAAGCTAACTTTGGGTACAGCTCAGGTCAAGATTTGGTTCAAAAATCGCAGACGACGTCACAAAATTCAATCGGATCAACAGAAGGAATTTTCATGTGACGGTATGCCCCTGTCACCATCACTTTCGACTACAATCAAATCGGAGCCCCAGGGTAGTGCCAGCAGCTGTGGCAGTAACAATAGCAACGGTTCGACATCTTCCTCCTCTTCGTCAGGTGGACCGCCCAGCTTACAGTCGTTGAGTATAAACGGTAATGGCGGCTCAACACCTAACCCATTGACACCATCACCGACGCCCACCACACCCACAACAAATCTCATGGATCATTACAGCGAGCCAGCGTTCAATCCCTACTATTACAATAATCATCATTCGACGCACCATCATCATCACCAGCCACCACATCATGCCACTCTCACTCATCCATATGGTTGTAGTGCAGGTGCTACCGGGGGCCAGTATTATCCCCCACCACCACCACCCTCAAGCCTGCAGCACCATCACAGCCAACATCAACAACAATATCACAGTCCGCATCCCCATCAATTTCAGATGGAACATAAACCTCATGCCGCGGTCATCAAAGAAGATCCGGATTATAATTTCAACAACCCGTACTACATGCGCATGCCACCCACAGCGGGGAGTAATCCTTCGGGTGTGACCACAGTGGAGCCATCTAGTGCAATGTCACCGAACTCAGAAGTCTATGAACCGTTGACACCAAAAAATGACGATAATTCTAGTCTGTGCAATGGCGCCGGCGGCAATGTCGATGTTGGTGATAATTTAGATGAAACCAAGGCCAAATTACGGGTAAGCACTTTTCGTAATTTTACATATATAATACTAAATTTCATGTATATACTAGTAAAATAAATATATTAAATTTCAACATTCCACTATTATACTGTCACCCAAAACCACATTGTACCAAAACCACCTCTCTAGGTTGTTTTGGAAAAGTGTACTACAAGGACACGAAGAGTACTACATAGTACTATATTTGGTGCAATTTGGTATTGGGTTAACATATAGTGTTGTTGGTACTTAGGGTCACCGTACATATGGAGGTTGATTCGGAAATGTGTACGATAACTGTACGAAAAATACTAAATAGTACTAAATAGTACTAAATTTGGTATTGGGTAAATGGATAGAGATAACGTTCTGAATTTTGATATATCTCTATATATTCATATTTTTATACCCTACAACACTATGTGTTGGGGGTATTATAAGTTTGATTGGGCCAAAAATTATGTAACACCTCGAAAAATTGGTTTCCCACATAGAAAAGTATATATGGATCTTCCTATCTCGCCGAGCTGAGTCGATGTATGTCCGTATGTATGTCCGTTCGTCCGTCTGTCCATGTTAATTTGTAATCACTCTACAGGTCGCAATTATGATCCGATCCTCACAAAATTGAAAATGGAGGTGGGGTTAAGAACAGAATAGAACCCTATTTCTTTTGGAGATGATCCCATAATATTTAGGGGTTGAAATGGACCAAAAACTGAAAAATTTGCTGATTTTGCAGTTGCTCCACAGGTCGCATTTATAGACCAATCAAAATCGAAGTTAGTATGGGGCTAGAGCTTAGGGCTGGGCAGAAGTCTTCCAATTTTGATGGTCATCGGATAATATTTAGTGGGTGAAATAGACCATAACATTTGTGTTAAATAAAAGTCAAATTTTCCATTAAACCGCGAATATTTTTAATCCTGGCGAAATCACAAATAGACGAAGAGGTAAATTCTGACCGTTACGTACATACCGATAGTAAATATATCGGATATATAGCGAAATATATACAATGTTTATATACAAAGGAAAATGATGTTAGCTAGAATGCATATAGCTCATGAATGGCTGGACCGATTTTGACAAATTTTGTCAATTCAGAGTGCCCTCTTGGAATAAAAGAATAAAATCTAAAAAAATCGCATAAAAAGGTGTAAATAATGATGTTAATATAGATTTTGTAGTATTGTGTGTCACTATTTTTTTTTTCATAATTTTTATCGCATGCGATTTTTTCATTTTGACTTACAATATTGAAGAGTACATTTTGTAATATTTTTCACCTTACAACACAGGTTGGGGTTATTCTGTATAGATTGCAATTATCGTCCGATCCTCACGAAATTTTTACAAGGGTAGGGTTAGGCTCAGAAGAGCTAGGCCTATTGTTTCCAAAGATATCCGCTATATATTTAGAGGTTGAAATGGATCAACAACAAACAATTTTCCTGATTTTTCAGCCGTTATAAAGGTCACAATTAGAAACCAAAGGACACGAAATTTCGCATGAAGTTAGAGTTTAGGACAGCGGGTAGAATGGACCACTAATTTTGTGTGAAAAAATACTAGCATTACTTACAGGCGATATTCAATCGACACGCCTGAGAAGAGAGTTAGGGACAGGGAAGAATTCTAGCACTTTGGATGACCATTCGATTATAATAATAAACCACAAAAACTAACAGCACGACGGAGTGCGTAAATATTGGGAAAATATCCCTCGTCAATATGCTAAGGTTAATACCTGGGCAGTGATCCGTGGCATAATTTCAAAAGCGAAATCTTCCAAAACGGATTTGGACATAAGGAGGCTTAAAATATATTGTAGTGTTGTAGGGTATCACATAGTCGGCCCCGCACGACTATAGCCTTTGCTTACTTGTTTATTAAGAAAATGTTTCAGAACATTATTTGGACATAAGGAGGCTTAAAATATATTGTAGTGTTGTAGGGTATCACATAGTCGGCCCCGCACGACTATAGCCTTTGCTTACTTGTTTATTAAGAAAATGTTTCAGAACATTATTATTTATATACCCTCCACCACAGTATGGAGTATACATACATTTTAGACCCCACAAAGTATATATATTCTTGATCAGCATTAAATTCTATGTCGATTTAGCGATGTCCGCCCGTCTGTGGAAATCACTCTAGCTTTTGAACGAAATGAAGTAGGTAGATAAGATTTTACCCAAATGTTATGTCTGCAGGACTTTTTGTATTGAAAATGGTCCACGTTTTGGTATAGCTCCCATATAATGGCACCTCGCGATATTCAATATTTTGATGATTTTAACTCATTATTCACCGGAATTGTTTCAAAATTGGTATTTGAAGTTCGTAATGGATCCTACAGCCTATGACAGAAAATTGTCTGTGCAGGTCCACGTTTTGGTTCAGCACTCATATAATGGTACCTCCCTATATTCGCTATTTTCATGATTTTAGCTACATTATTCACCCATTTTTTTAAGTTTCGTATTTGAATATTGTAATGGCTTATGGCAAATATTGCCTATGCAGGTCCACGTCTTCGTATAGACCCTAATATAACGGCTGCATTCGGGTTTTTTAAGATTTAACAGAATTTATTGTTAAAATTGCCAAATTCGTTCCAAATGGTGGAGGGTATTTAAAGCTCGGCCGGCCGAACTTACGGCTTTTTTACTTGTTTTTTTTTTTAATTTTCAAGTTCCTTCCAGATTGTGGAGGGATTAAAAGTTCTGCCGGGCGAACTTAGCTGCTTTGTTACTTGTTATACCCTCAAAGTATAACGTATATATATATATATATATCCATAATCAGCATAAAATTCTATGTCGATTTAGCGATGTCCGTATGTATGTATGTCTGTCCGTCCGTCGGTCTGCTGAAATCACGATACGGCCCACTATATTTGACGTAGAACGTCAAAATTTAGCAGAATAATTTGTATTGCGCCTAGGATGGTTGGTATTGAAAATGAGATATATCGGTCCTCGTTTTGGTAGAGTTCCCATATAACGGTACCTCCCAACATTCGGTATTTCGATGATTTTTGCCACATTTTTTCACGGATTTGTCTAAAAATTGTTATTTGTTAGTCATAATGGGTTCTAGCTCCTGTGGCGAAACATTGTAGATATAGGTCCACGTTTTTGTATAGCTCCGTATAGCGGTACCTCCCGTTGTTTGGAATTTTGATGATTTTTGCCACATTTTCGCATGAATTTGTCTAAAAATTGGTATTTTTGGGTCACAATGGGTCCTAATGTTTCCTTTACTCTAAGTTGGAGGGTGTTAAAAGTTTGGCCCGGCCGAACTTAATGTTTTTTACTAGTTTTTAAATAAAATTCTTAATTTTATTTCCGATTAATGTCTGACCTTCCTTTCTAGGTGATTGTGTCCAGCAATGCCAACCGAACTGACGATACTTGCAGCAATACCAATGCAATTGGAAATGAGGGTTCTGGCACACCGGCCATCAACATCATGGAAGATTGTACGGGTGCATTTGCCAAATACCAAAAGATGACAACCGCTGATCCGAATGATCCGAACTATCAGTGTACGATGGATACGATAATGCACGCGTATAACAATCATCGTAATACATCGGCCAACAATCAACAATTCGCCTATTGTTTCAATTGATCGGAAGATCGATGCGAGTGAATGTTCGCCAATAATTGGCGACCAACTGGCTGGCTGTGATGTACACAAAAAACGAAAGAAAGAAACAAAGAAAGAGAATGCAAATTCAACCAAAAAAATTATAGAATAAAATAAAACCCCCCTTTATCCGTTGTTCCTTGATTGTATAAAGATTCAAATTATAAAATTGTTATATAGAATTTTTTCTTGTTAATTTCATTTATTTGTCTAGACTTAAGTATAGTTTTGATTTTAAGTTAAAAATTTAAGATTTATATTAAGTATATGTCACTTGAAAAAAGTAATCTCGAAAATTATGCATTTTGTTTAGGATAATAATCGCAATTTTCTATGATATCCATTATTTGTGTATGTGTGTATTTAGGTTAAGTTTTATTCTAAGTCTTATAAAATATTTTAAGTTTTATTTGAATAACTTCTCTAATTTCGATTCGTTATTCATTCGGCATAGCTGCAAATTCTAGAGCCCATGAATTTGCACCGCTGCCCATAATGAATACATGGGCTCGAACGTAAATTACAGAAGTTGTCGATATTCTAAGTTTCTAAGCTAAGTTTTTTCGAAAAATACTTTCTTTGAATTACAGGCGACTACTGCCACCTGCCTGCGATTGCCAATTTTTGTGATAGAGAAATGCTCTGAAACTGCAAATTCACCATAAAGTGTAAAATGTGGCTCATAGTAAAAACGAATATTTCGCTGCCAACAACGGCTTGGTTTTTAACTACACAGAGCCAACATTTGGACAACAAATATTCAATTCACTAACTGAGTATTTTTCAAAAGAGAGACATTTCTGGGGCATCTGTTTGCGGTCCATGAAATGGCCCAAAAGAGGCAAAATGAATTCTTTTGTTCCTGGCAATTGCATTTGTCTGCTACAGCCCGAAATGTGCAGAAAATGGAGATTGTTTGGAGCCAGAGAAGAACTCAAACTTTGCCTTCTTTAGAGATGTTTTATTATTAGTTTGGCGGCACGCCCAGGAGAATGGGTAATTCAAAGAGATATATTTTTCGCTTCGATTATTTTTCTAAACAAAATGCTTATCGAAATTGGCTTTTTTTCCCAGTGTCATTAAAAATTCTCTTTGTTCTGTCCTTCTTTGTCAATATCTGTAACTTTTCCACAAACCTTGTTCTATTATTATTCCTTTTCCTTCCATTTCGAACAAATTTAAATTAAATTGTAACTCTTAGTTTATGTTTTTAATAAAGTTTATCCTGTCTAACTACTTATGGTTCTTCTATTGGTTCATCATCTTTTTAAGCGATTTCAACGAAAATTTCACTGTACAACACAGAAAATAATTACAGGGAAAGTCCACATGTTATAAAAGTAGAGCCAACAAGTAAAAAAGCAGCTTAGTTCGGCCGGGTCGAACTTTTTGATCCCTCCGGCATTTGGAAGAAACCTGAACAATTTTAAGAAAAATTCCCTAGAAAAATATCGCTCTAATGAAAACCGTTATATGGGGACTATACGAAAATGTACTTCTGCATAAGTAATTTTTGTCGTAGGCTGTAGTAACGATTCCAAACTTCAAATACGAAATTTGACGCAATTCAGGAGAGTAATATCGCGAAAATCCTGGAAGTACCGAATATTCTAAGGGTAGCGTTATATGGAAGCTATACTAAAACGTGGGCCTATGTAGACAATTCTCTTCTAGGGAATAAAGTACTCCGAAGGAACCCCTTGTGTGGATTTTAAGACAATTACATTGAAAATGTTGGCTAAAATCATCAAAATATTATCGGGAGGTACAGTTATATGGAAGATATACGATATCATGGACCTGTATAGACAATTCTCTTCTAGGGAATAGAGTACTGACAAAGAAGTCCTTGTGTAGAATTTCAGACAATTCCTTTGAAAAATGTGGCTAAAATAAAAAAAAAAAAAACAAGTAAGCAAAGGCTACAGTCGAGCGGGGCCGACCGTTGAATACCCTACAACACTATAATAAACCATACAGATTATATAGGCGAGATACTCGAAAGAATTCCACAAGATATTGTGACAAATAATAAAAAAAACCATCAGGTTCCGTTCTCTAATTTTCGAATAATAGCAACTTAAACTAATTTGCTCATTTCCAACTTATTGGTAGATCTGTCTTCCTAGATCTGGAACCAATATTTCCCAAAGACCTATAATCTCTCAGAAGTGGCAAAAGATTAATATTTATTATTGGTTTTTGACTGAAACGCATCTATATGAGATACAGACATTTGACTATATTCTTCAACGAAATCAGCGTTAACGAAATAGTCAGAAGTGCGCCTTTCCACTACAAAAGTTGGCAAACTATTTCACACATTGAATATTTTTGGATGGCCATCCAAAACTGCTTGGCTTTTGTAATGTCCGGTAACACCCATTAAAATGTGCGTGAGGATCGGGCGATAATTACGACCTGCAGACAATTTTGCAGTTTTTTGGTTCATTTCAACCCTTAAATATATTGCGATCATATCCAAAAAGAGTAGGCTTCTATTCTGACCCTCATCTTATCCCCATGCAAAATTTTGTAAGGATCGGGCCATAAATGTGATCCGTATATGATATCCTGATATCCTAACTACTTTGTTTTGTTAGCTGCAGAAATATTACCAAATGTTTAATTCAAAATGAAAATATGCCAAAAATATGACAAAATTGAAAAAAATATGAGAAAATTTTACAAAATCAATATTTTCATCTTTAGAGAGATATTTTTATGCGATTAGACGTTTTTTCTTTCCTGCCATGAGGCCATTCTGAATTAATGAGAATTGTCGAAATCAATTCAGCCGTTCTCGACATATAAGAGATCTTTCAAGCATATCTTCTTTGATAGACATATATATCGCATATATTTTGCTATATATCCGATTTGATGGATGTTAACATCAATGTAAAGATCAGAAGTAACCTTGTCATGGCTTTGTGATTTCGCCGGGATTTAAAATATTCGCGGTTTAATATACATTTTTGAATTTTTTCAACACAAAAAATATGGTCTATTTTACCCGCTAAATATTATCCGATGATCACCCAAATTGGTAGGCTTCTTCCTCGCCCTAAACTCTAGCTACATGCGAAATTCCGCGTCGATTGGTCTATAATTGCGACCTGTATAGCTACTGCAAAATCCGACATTTTTTCAGTATTTGGTCCATTTCAACCCCTAAATGTCATGCAATCATCTCCAAAAGAAATAGGGTTCTATTCTGACCCCAGTCCCACCTCCAATCTAAATTTCGTGAAGATCGGGCCATAATTGCGACCTGTAGAGTGATTACAAATTAACATGGACAGACGGACGGACGGACATACATAGCTAGATCGACTCAGCTCGGCGAGCTAGGAAGATCCATATATACTTTCCTATGTGGGAAACCAATATTTCGAGGTGTTACATAATTTTTGGGCCAATCAAACTTATAATACCCCCAACACATAGTGTTGTAGGGTATAATTACCGAATATCGGGGGGTACCGTTATATGGGGGCTATACGATATCGTGGACTGATATAGCCGACTGATATAGCCGAACTTGAACTGCCTGCAGACAAAAGACAAATCTGTGCAAAATTGTAGCTTCCTATCTTAATTCGTTTTGACAGACGGACAGGCAATGCTAAATCGTCTAAGAATTCTACGCTGATCAAGAATATATATACATTGTTGGGTCTAAAATGATGAGTTACAAACGGAATGACGAACTTTATATACCCTCATACTATGTATGGTGGATGGTATAAAAATAGGATATATGTATATTGCTGTTTTAATTTCGCCATATTTTGGAATTTTGGGTGCCTTAATTTTTTCCCTGGAATTTATCCCTTTAAAATGATTCTTTGTAGGAGATTTTTGCATAATCTCACATAAAGTGTGGCTTTAACCCTAAAGTGTGTTTTTATACCCACAGCCATATGGCTACAGAGGGTATATATCATTTAATACCGACATAACTTGCTTCATCGAAATAAAGGTTCTAGACCCTAAGTCTCTTTGAACCAAATCAGTTTGGAGGATATTTGGAGTCAATCTAGGGGTGGCCGTTCATCCGTATCTGATTTGGTTCAAACTTGGTACATCGTAATATTATTATCAAACTTAGGTCAAGTTTGGATATGGACAATATCGTCACACTCCATCAAAAACCACCCCGCACAAAAGCTAAATATTTTAAATAATTAAAACTATTATAAAATGTGAAATAAGGGTCCGATTGGTGTAAAATTAGAAGGAAGGACGAAATGGGCAATATGGACCACTTTTTCGGAACCACCCAAATTAATAGTCAACATTTTGAACAATCATAGGAGAATGCAGTTAGAGTTAAAAAAAAACTCAGTAAGGAAAAGTAAAAGTCGGGCGGGGCCGACTATATGATACCCTACACCACTATGCATATTTAGTAGATCATACCACCTATCAACATTTGGCTTTAGAGCAGCTATAATTTGGTTTCAGAGGGAACTAATATAGGGGAGTCATATCTCATTCTAAATCGATTTTCACTAAACTTGACGGAGATATATTAATCTTTTATACCTCCGAGAAAAATTATATTAAAAGCAGTAAAGAAAGTCTTAAAGTCGGGCGGGGCCGACTTTATGATACCCTACACCACTTTCCTAATTTAGTTGAGCTCCGCATAACAATTAAAAGTTTTTATGTGAGAATTCAATCATACACGCTATGATTATAATTATAATTTAAATTTCAAAGGACTAAATGTGCCGAATCATTTGTATCTTTTAAATTCGGACTTGTATTGCCCATTTGGTCCACAATTAATTTGAAATCGGATAAAGATATATATGGGAGCTATATCCAAATCTGAACCGATCTCGATAAAAATTGGCAAAGATGAGCTGTATTTGATATATTTCCCTGAATATCGTTGTTACGGAGTGCATATTACGGCTTCGGAGGACTAAAATAACAAATCGGATGAACAATATATATTGGAGCTAAAGCTATATCCGAACCGATCTTTACCAAATTTGACATACTTGCTCCTAGACTCAATTCGATGGCAAGTGCCAAATTCCATCCCATTTGGACAAATATTAGACGTTTGGTGCACAATAAAAGGTAAATCGGACGAAGTTATATATGGGAGCTATATCCAAATCTGAACCGATCACGATAAAATTTAGCAAACGTATTTCTGAGCTGTATTTGCTATATTTCCCCAAATATTGTTGTTACAGTGTGCATATTACGGCTGCGGAGGACAAAAATGACAAATCGGATGAATAATATATATGGGAGCTATAGCTATATCTGAACCGATTTCGATCAAATTTGGCATATTTATTTCCAGGCATAATTTGGTTGTATGTGCAAAATTCCATACTATTCGGGCTGATATTACACGTTTGGTGCACAATAAAAGGCAAATCGGTGGTGTAGGGTATAAAAATATATATCGGGGACGAGTTCCACAAAATGGAAACGTACGTCCCGATATTCACTTGAGTTGGGCTAATATTGGCCATTATTTGCATATGGGAGCTATATCCAAATCTTAGTCGGTGTCGATAAAATTTGTCGAAAGTATTTCTGAGCTCTATAAGATATCTTTTACAAATATCATGTTGTCGAAATATGAGGGACTTAAACACCAAAACGGATGAAACATATATATGGGAGCTATAGCTATAACTGAACCTTGACAGATATTGGCCATTTTGTGCACAATTAACCCGATATCGGTTGATGATATATATGGTAGCTATATCCAAATCTGAACCAACCTTGATAATATGTGGCAGAGGTATTTCTGGGATGTTAATTTGGTACCAAATATCATTGTTGTTGAGTGCGTAATACGCATGTGAGGGACTTAAAATCCCAAATCGGATGAAACATATATATGAGAGCTAAATCTGAACCGATTTTCTCCAAATTTGATATACTTGTTTCTAGACTGAATTCGGTGGGATTTACCTAAATTCATGTCATCAGGACTTATATTGGCCATTTGGTGCACAATTAACTCGAAATCGGTTGAAGATATATGAGAACTATATCTAATTCTGATATGATTATCACCAATTGCAATAGGGTTCGTCCTTGTGCCAAAAAATATTTTTTGCAAAATTTCATCTCAATGTGGTGTGGGGTAAAAAATATAGCACCCATATAACGGCACCTCCCTATATTCGGTATTTTGATGATATTTGTCACTTTTTCTCACGGATTTGTTTGAAAATTTTTATTTGTAGTTC